CCTTATGAGGTAAATGCCAATTATGATTCTACCCCTTTTCCTCTTGTAACAATTATCTCACTTCAAAACATCTACTTTTGTATTTCAGCATATTATTGATAGCATGAAAGATCCACGCATTGTTGCATTTTGGTTAATCACAATGCCTCAAATTATGGGAGGATTTAAATACGGTGATGAGGTCAAACATAAAATATGGTAGTAATACAAGGTTCTTCTATTTCTTATCTATTAATTTACTTATTTTTTAATTCAACTTTATTACAAAATTAAATAGCTTCTTTTGTTGATATTAGTGTTTCTTATTTAGAAAAATATGTGATATGATCAACTTCGTGATGTTATAACAATGAAAAAACTTGGATGATCAGGAAGTGAGATAAATTTATAATTTATTAACTTCAATGAGAAATTAATTAATTACAATTTTGTTATTGAATTTGAAATACAACAGGGATTATATCAATGGATCCTGAACGTGCAAGAAATGATCCAGTGGTAGTAAAAAACATTCCTTACTATAAAGCAAAGAGCAAATTAGGGGCAGAAGTGATGAAGCTCAATTACCACCATTACCTCAAAATGGGGGGGGGGGGGGATCAGTATAAACAAAAGTTTTTTCATTTATTTTTAGAGATTTACATATTTGGTCCTTGTGTTTAGTTGATTTTTTTGGTTTTAGTCCCTAAAAGAACCAGGTTGTAGTTTTTGGACCTTGTTTCACTGTTTCATAAAACTTTTATGATTGCCTAAGTTAACACCCTAACTATTAGTTTTTTTTTTTAAATCACCATTTTACCTTTGAACCAAAACTAAAAAACATATAGCATAACAACAAAATTTATATATATATATATATATATATATATATATATATATATATATATTGTACTTAAGTTTAGAGTAGATTACATTTTTGGTCCTTGAGTATACCTGATTTTTTTAGAAGGTTCTGAGGGGTGTTTTTGGTATTTCAGGGTCAAATGCTGACTCTAGTTGAGTGTACACTTCTATTATACCGTGCATTCTTACCTGTCCATGTATGGTACTGATTCTTTTTTAAAACAAAAGTTTTTCATTTATTTTTAGGGATTTACATATTTGGTCCCTGTGTTTAGTTGATTTTTTTGGTTTTGGTCCCTAAAAGAATCAGGTTGTAGTTTTTGGACCTTGTTTCACTGTTTCATAAAACTTTTATGATTGTCTAAGTTAACACCCTAACTATTAGTTTTTTTTTTAAATCACCATTTTTCCTTTGAACCAAAACTAAAAAACATATAGCATAACAACAAAATTTATATTTTTCTTGTTTTTTTTTTTTTTACTTAAGTTTAGAGTAGATTACATTTTTGGTCCTTGAGTATACCTGATTTTTTTAGAAGGTTCTGAGGGGTGTTTTTGGTATTTCAGGGTCAAATGCTGACTCTAGTTGAGTGCACACTTCTATTATACCGTGCATTCTTACATGTCCATGTATGGGACTGATTCTTTTTTAAAACAAAAGTTTTTCATTTATTTTTAGAGATTTACATATTTGATCCCTGTTTTTAGTTGATTTTTTTGGTTTTGGTCCATAAAAGAATCAGGTTGTAGTTTTTGGACCTTGTTTCACTGTTTCATAAAACTTTTATGATTGCCTAAGTTAACACCCTAACTATTAGTTTTTTTTTTTAAATCACCATTTTGCCTTTGAACCAAAACTAAAAAAATATAGCATAACAACAAAATTTATATTTTTCTTTTTTTTTTTTCTTTTTTTTTTTACTTAAGTTTAGAGTAGATTACATTTTTGGTCCTTGAGTATACCTGATTTTTTTAGAAGGTTCTGAGGGGAGTTTTTGGTATTTCAGGGTCAAATGCTGACTCTAGTGGAGTGCACACTTCTATTATACCGTGCATTCTTACCTGTCCATGTAGGTACCGATTCTTTTTGAAAAAAAGAATACGAGAGCCTATTTTCATCTTTCACAATATGTTTATATTTAACTTTAAAGCTCACATCAATTGTTGAGAAGGTATATTTCTTATTCTTATTTTGTTACTACCGGAGCCATAAAAAAAAACTTTCTAATGAGGGCGTTCATGTCTTTTGTACAACCCGTCTGTTATATTATGTCATGTCATCTCTTATCTTGTCTATTGATTTTTTTACAAAGGTATACACACATGTAACATCATAATTTCATTATATATAACATCTAATTTTAACATTGAGTTTACTGTTTTCGAAAATAGGATCATAGTTACCGATTAAAAAGATTGAACCAAGAACCGAACACAACATCAAAAAAAAAATTCAAAAACAACATTATACATCCAAATTATAAGTATTCAACAAGGACCATACGAATGAGTAAAAACATATAATTTCGAAAACAATATCAAACTTACAGATTAAAATGATATAAGGAATAAATACATACATTTATTCGACTAATCAGACTGATGGGAATGTTGAAGTTTTGTTGCATTTGTTTTCTACATGGGAATTATGACATAACGTTTGTTTAAATCGATTATTAAAAAGGTTTGAAATATATATACAAGTCAATATGATGAAAATTAGCAGGTTATCAATTGAAATCTCATTTAAACTTAATAGAAGATATCATGCTTGAAAGTGTATTGGTTCATGAAAATATCCGAAACTTTTGAAATTTAAAATTAATAGTTTCCGATATTTCAACATATAATATATTTGGAAAGCAATTTTGAATGGAAATAAAGCCTAAAATTAAGGTTTACATTAATAAAGAACCAATTTTGTAGTTGTAAGTTTGGAAAGAATTCAAGTATCATTTTCATTCGTAAAAATATCCGAAACTTTTAAAATTTGAAATTAATAGTTTCCGAGATTTCAATATATAATATATTTGGAAAACAATTTTGAATGGAAATAGAGCCTAAAATTAAGGTTTACATTAATAAGGAACCAATTTTGTATTTGTAAGTTTGGAAAGAATTCAAGTATCATTTTCATTCAATTCCTACATTTAATTTCCTAATATAACGGATTGATTTCTTGTTTGATCAAGGTGACGTAAGCAAATTGATCTAAGGATGTAAAACATATAAAGAAAACACAATTAACGATCCAGATTGTTTTAGATGATGTCATAAGGTTTCTTTTTTAATAATATATATATATATATATATATATATATCATTGTTTATGAACAGACGATTTTTATCTTGAATATAATGTTAATAAATTGTTTTTTAAGTGTTTTGCAATATTTAATTTATACATATACAAATGAAGAATAACGAAGATAGTAACTTTGTATATTATTGACTTATTTGTTTTTTTTAAGTATAACAATTTACTTTTTAACATATAGGATAATAATCTGACAAAAATGTATATCAACAACATTAAAAAAAAAATATTTTCAAACTCCAATAAATATTTATATAGCAAATGTTTTCCTATAAGATAAATTCTACAACCTCAACATAAGAATAACATTAAAGAAATATTATAACTAAAGTTTACATTAGACTTAAATAAAAGCTTTTATTATATATATATATATATATATATATATATATATATATATATATATATATATATATATATATATATATATAACACAAAAAGTTAATTATCAATATTTGTTAAAAGGATGCTATAACAAAATCAGTTGGTAGTAATTTCCTCAAAAATATAGGTTTTTTTAGAGACAAAGAAAACTAAAGATTGTTTATCTTGTTTCGTATCATTTCTAATAAATAAATGTTTTTTTTGTCACTTATCACATTCTTATTCAATTTGTCAAATATTATTTTGTGGATATTTTGAATTATTTTTTTCCACGTGTCATTTTATGAGTTTTTCTATTTTATTTAATTTTACATAATAGTTTAATGTAACAAATGAAATAAATATAGTAGTAAATGGATATTAATTTCATTAATTAACTTATCTTTTAATTTCAAAATTCTTAAAATTAAAGTTCATTAGTTTCTTTTATTTATTTTAATTATTTGTTTAAATTTAAAAGATAAAAAATATTTTTATTATAATAATTTATTATTTTTTTTATTTTCTTATAAATTCAAAGTTCTTAAATATTTTGACATATATAATTAGCTTTTTATTTAAAAAAAAATTAACTCATGTAATACATGAGTCTCATAACTAGTCTTTTTATTTTAATAAAAGAATAATTTTATTTTCTTTTTGTCACGTGTCATCTCATTAGTCAAACTAATTAATAGCATGTCACTTGTTAACTTATTGATTTTTCATTTCAAATTTTAGATTTATCACTCTATTACCTTAAATTAATAATATTAGAATAAAAAATAAAAAAAATTAATACAGATTATTAGACCACATATTTATTTAAATCAACGATTATAATTATATTTAATTAAAAAAATATCTCTTACTTAATAATTTATTTAAAATAATTGGTTAATAGTTTTAAGTTTTTACAATGAAAATTTAATTAATTTTGTAATTTTGATTTACGGGTTATAAACTATTAATAATTATAGTGTCCAAATAAGTTTTTTTTTAATATAACATGTTGATATTTATAATTTAAGTTAGATATAAGTGGTATTCAAGATGTTAAAAAAATGAAAACGTGAAATATATAAGATAAGATGTGTTTTAATGTCGGTATAAGTAATAACATGACAAGCCGTAACTAAGTTGGGAGTAAACAATTTATAAAAAAAAGTTATTTATTTAAGTCAATAATTTTTTTAAAAAAAATAGTACATTTAAACACTATACCGTCAAACACAATCACCGGCGGCGATTTATAACCCGATTAAAACGTACATCCATATTCAAACCCTAAAAATGTGATCACTCGCTTAATTGAGCCACAAAACCCTTATATTTATTAGACCAAAAATGCAACAACAATTTTTAGACACGTGTATACTTGTTATTGTTAATTTAGCGTACTTCACTCGCGTACGTGACCTTTCATCCACCGAATCTGTCTTTATAAGATCTGACTTGCCATTCATCATCATTCACACTCAGCTCTCTGAACCAGCAAGAAATGGATTCTCGCAAGTTGATTTTAGTTTCTGTTACATTGGTTTGGTGTTTAGGGGTAGTTGTGCAGGGCTTCACATATGACGATAAAGAGGTTGAAACGGTGGAGAGTAGGTCGGCTTTGTTTGAGAGGTGGAGGAGCCACCACAATATGGAAAGTATAAGCGTAGAAGCCAAAAGGAAGCAGTACAACAACTTCTTAGCTACCCTGGAAACTGTTCAGGCATCAAACAAGGCGAAGAAGTCATATAAGTTAGGGTTGAACAAGTTTTCCGGCATGAGTAAGGAGGAGTTTAGGAGCCAGTATACCGGACTGAAGCTTCCACTTTTCCGGCAGACTGATCCCGAGCCTTTCATGTATCGTAATTTCACTGATATCCCTCCCAGGATTGATTGGAAAGCCAATGGTGCCCTCGGCAGAGTCAGGAATCAACAAGGTTGCGGTACGTAACGCATATGCATGCACACGTACCTTTATATATATATATATATATACTTATTTTATATATAAATTACTATCCAGAAATCAAAAGAGATCTTGTAAGTTTTTCATTAATTTGATGCAGTTTTGATATATATGTTATAATTACAGGATCGTGCGCACAGTTTGCTGCCTCGGAAGCACTTGATGGATTAAACTTCATAAAAACGAAGAAGCTAGTCGAAGTATCACCAAAAGAACTTCTCGACTGTGGTAATGTCGGAGGATGTGCAGGATCGTTTTTTACAGCCTGTTTCGATTACGTTGCAAAGAATGGAGGTATAACAACAGATAAGAACTATCCATACAAACCTGTACAGGAGCCTTGCAACCACCAAAAGGTACGTACGACCGATGATCATCCATGGAGTAATTAATTAATGTCCTATAGCTAGCTGGATAGCATGCATGCATGTACGTACTATCATCTCAACTTTTTGAATGCCATGCAGGAAAAAGATATTGTAGTAGAAGTTCATGGATATGAAAATATCCCTGCGCCCGGTACAGAGGAGAATCTTCTTAAAATAATTTCAAACCAGCCTGCCTCTTGTGGCATGTACTGGAACGAGGAGATCGCAAGTTATAAAGAGGTAACTCTCTCTCTCTCTCTCTCTCTCTCTCTCTCACATCGATTATCCTCAATTATTGGTTTATATAATTAGTTATAATACGATCGAATTAACAGGGGGTTTATGAGGGATCGTGTGGGCCGATACCAATTCATGCTGTAGCAGTGGTTGGATTTGATGAAACCCCTGAGGGACAAAAGTATTGGTTAATTAAGAACTCTTGGGGACCAGATTGGGGAGATAAAGGATACATGAAACTTGCACGTGGCAAGGGTGGGGAGGGACACTGCGGCATAGCACATTGGTGTGCTTATCCTACATTTGACGACACCGGTGGATCACATAAAGAGAAGGGTCCAATGGTACACAGTACTCACGAACTCTAGATCTACAAGACAGACTTTCATCATGCTCTGCTTATCCTACTATTCGTACTCTTGAAGACACCGTTGCAAACCAATTGTATTGCTTGCAAACTCAAACCGCCAACTAGAGACGAAGTTAGGATTTTAAAATAAGAAGGCTTAAGCAAACGATGCAGCTCTCATTCTCTTATTTTGATTTGAGATCGATTCTTTATTGTTTTTTATTGGAATATTAATATAAATGTCATTTTTTATTTTTGGCAAAATTTTTATTTATAATGTTACGTGTAAACTAGGTCGTAAAAGTAACTTTTCAAAAATGAATAAATCATAAAAACAAGAAAAAAAAACAAGGTTATAGATAAGAGGATCATAAATGTAACATTAGAAAAATTAGTTAAATATCTCATTCTCACACAACACAACACCATTAAATTAATGAAAATCATCAATTTTGAGCTCGTCTTACCAATTAGTGTTCTTTAATTATGAGACACCCAAAATATTAATACAAAGTATTAGACAAGTTTGGGGTTAAGCACCTCCCCCTTACTCCCTTCGTCTATACCATTAATGATACTGACCCTACACTACAAGAAAACAAAGCTTTAGCGGTGACAGTCAGTAATAGCGGCGACACGTAAATGACGCGTTACGTGTCGCCGCTATTACTGGCTGTCGCCGCTAATGCTTTCATTTAGCGATCCGCGTCATTCTCACCCTAGCCGTCCGATTTGTTTTCAATCTAACGGTTGTTAAGGAAAGCGGAAAGGCGCGCTGAGTTTTCCCTCCGTTTGTCGCCGCTAATGCCCTAATGTCGCCACTATTGCCCTTAGTCGCCGCTAATACCCGTCGCCGCTAATGCTAAACGCAGATATCCCATTCACAACTTACCTTTCTGCCATTCACAGCTTACCTTTCACTCGTTTTTCTCTCGTTTTGTCTTCAAAATCACGCAATTTTTCCAACTTGGTGGACTAGGCATTGCTTCTTGGATCGATGCTAGCTTCTCCTTCCCTCAAGGCAGCCACAATACCGCTACAACCCCAACCAAGGTCGACATTTAGCTAGAAATCCGAAATTGCCCCAACCAAGGTCGAGTTTCTCATCTTTTTTATGATTTTTCTGTTTTAGATGATAAATAGTGAGTATTTTTCAAGTTTGTTGAGTGATTATGTTTGTATTTTGATATATGAATTGGTTATGCATTTTGTTGGATTGCATGTATTTTGTTGGATTGTGTGTTTTTTTCATATTTGTGGGAATTTTATTATGCATTTTGTGTATATTTTGAAATTTATGTTTAAATTACATTGAAGTATAAAAAAGAAAAAAAATTGACATGTATATATACATTTGTATGAAATTGGATGAAATTTAGATGTATATATTTGTATAATTGGATGAAATTGGATGAAAGTTATACCACATTACTTTAACATGAAACTTAGATGTATATATTTGTATGAAATTGGATGAAATTGGAATATGTAAATTGAATGTATACATTTGACTTAATTGTATGAAATTGGATGAAATTGGAAAATGCAAATTTGATTAAATTGAAATATGCAAATTGGATGTATACATTTAGCTTAATTATGTTATTAATAGCAACTTACTTCTACTAATGTATTGTATATGGTTTCAAAGTGTTTAATTTTGTTAGTGATTTAATGTTTGACCAACTTAATAGCAACATACTTTTAGTGACTTAATGTTGGTCATTACAACTTTAGCTTTAATTAGGTTATTAATAGCAACGTACTTCTAGTAATATTAATTTAATTATAGAATAAATTTAAATTAATTTAAAAAAAACATTAAAAAAATAATAAATTAGTTGTAAAATCAAGTTAATGTTAAAATTAAAATAAAATAAAGTTCGTTTAATAAATTAAAATTAAAATAAAGTTAGTTTAATAAATTAAAATTAAAATAAAGTTAGTTTAATAAATTAAACTAATAACAAAAAAGAAAATATTAAATTAATTATAAAATCTAATTAATTTACCTTTAGAATCAAATTAAGTTACCTTTATAAAATCAAATTATATTAATTATAAAACTAACTTAATAGCAACATACTTATAATCCTGCAGTCGAGCAACAATACGTAAGTGGTTAATTTGTATTTTTCATATAAATGTTTATATCGTCAAAGGTATTTAGTAATCTAATTTTTATGATTTTTATTATTTTTAAAAAATACAGAATGTTGTACTCGAAGAGATAAACCAACGAACTCAAGCTACTTCTGAGGCAAACGGTCTAGCACCAACTGATATAAAAGATTGTTTTGAAAGAATATTGGGTGTTCGACGCGGACATATCAGAGGCATTGGGCGTAAACCTCCTTACCGTTGTGTCTATGTATGATCAGCAACAACCAATGACACAAGAACAACCACAATCACATGTAATTGTTAGTAAATGCTATAATGAAAAGTAAAATGCTATAATGATATGTTGGTTATGATTTGATATGTAGATATTTTGTAGTTTGGTAATTTTTGGAAAGTAATGCTATAATGGAAGTAGAATGGTATAATGATATGTTGGTTAAGGTTCGATATATTGATATTTTGTAGTTTGGTAATTTTTGGAAAGTACAATGCTATAATGGAAAGTAGAATGGTATAATGATATGTTGGTTATGGTTTGATATGTTGATATTTTGTAGTTTGGTAATTTTTGGAAAGTACAATGCTATAATGGAAAGTAGATGTATGTTTAAGTGTATTTGATATGTTGATATTTTGTAGAATGGTATAATTAATTATAATGTTATTCTGATAAGTTGTTAATATATTTTGTTTTCTTTATAGTTGCAAATGCTCCAAACAATACTACAGGACCCGGCCTGTTCTGCAGCATTGGAAGAGTGGTTTCGCTCATTGCCACCACCAAATAATGAAGGAGATGATGATGAGGACGAGTAGTTATTTTAGATTTTTATAAAACATTTTGTAATTTGGAAGAATACTTAATGTGGTATGGATTAATAGTTTGGATTGATTGTATAATATCTATTAATATTTCTATAAAAAGATATCAGATTTCTCAAATGCTATATGGATTAATAGTTGGATTGATTATAAATTTAATGTTAAATAAATTAAAAAAAATCAAAAGAGTATTAGCGGCGACCATCAGTATTCGCGGCAACGCCTGGTATTAGCGGCGACAACGAGTATTAGCGACGAAACAATACTGGCGACGCATTTGCAGCGACATGTCGTCGCTAAAGGTATTAGCGGTGACAAGCCCACCCTTTAGCGGCGACACGTGTCGCCGCTGTTACCCAATCTTCTTGTAGTGCTAGCTTATGTCGGAATAAAAAAATATTTTGTTTTATTCGTTTTTTGCACCAAATATTTTTACAAGTTATAAAGAATTTCACTTTGTTTATGTGGTTATTTTAAGTGCACCAACTATTGGGTTATAATGATCATTATTGCACAAGATGTAGGCGAACCCCGCAATTATGATGCTTCAAGATGACTTCTTTCTTCTTTTTTGGTAACTAAAACTCAAACTCTAGCAAGCTATGGCAGAAAACTATAGGGAGAGGAGAAGGAAAGAGAGAAAGAGAGAGAGAGAGAGAGAGAGAGAGAGAGAGAGAAAGATTGTGAGGGAAGGAATTGTCGTATCTAGCTGTATGATCATCTTAGGGCATTTTCAAAGTCATTATCTCTTGAATTTGGTATAATTATCCTTTAATCTAATGGATAATGATCACCGATTCAAATAATCACTTATTTACACTTAAATTATTTAAGTTTACTAATTTTCAATTAGACTATCATCTTATGATGGATTAACAAACTATGCACTCTACTTTTTCTTTTTTCATCCCACACTTAAATCATATATTGTGTGTTACCCAAAATGAAGCTGCTACTTATAGAAAGTCGCTAACTTGTGACCATATGCATATTTCCAATAGTCTCTCGCTTATATATGTCACAACTATATAGTCCTATTTTCCTTAGCCTAGCAAGGTGTACATCATCCAAGAGTATAATTTTACTCATAACTTAGAGGTATGAATAGTCCTAAATAAGTGATCAAATATGCATTTGTTTTGTGATATCCATATTAACATAAGACATGAAAGTGTGTCAATCAAACATCAAGATTATGTTTCGCGATAGAGATTAATTTGTAATAATTAACAATAGGCTACAATATTCATCAATTATCAACTTAGTATGAGTATCATTGTACATTTTGATGTTAACACCAAATCATTTAGGGGCCTATGAATATCGTTTCTCCTATTAAGGAAAAATGATCAAATAAACTTTGACTACACTGATCTCGCCCACTCATCATGTTATACCTAGAAATTCCCTATATGGATTGAGACATCCCTAAAATCACGGCCAGAAAAGACCGGTTTTGTTTATACTTTATTTCAAAATCAGAGTTATCTTTTAATAAAAGGTTTGCGGAATTTGTCCCAAAACAATAATATGATAAAGATTTATCAAAAGCATTTCCATAGAAATGTATTCATTAAAAGACTCGGGATGTCATGTTCGTACAGATCAAAAGTATAAACAGTACAATATAAGCCTTACTACATTATTCTGTATTTACAGGCCTAAAATCCATGAATCTCTCATCCCAAGATATCACATCTATGCTCATGCGCCACTACCTGTAATACAAGAAACTGAGTGGGTCAGGCTTGGGAGCCTAGTGAGCACATAGGGTTTTCAACCCACAATAAATAAGTTTATTAATTTCATCAATCAACAATAACCCGATTACCCGTTCCCGTTATCCTCACTTTACGTCCCTAAACACCTATCATAAGGGACCTAGCCTAAGGATCATCATCGGGATGGACACTACTGCTAAGGGGATTCCTCAGCAATAAATGTCCTAATATGCAACCATGCGGGGGATGGAGTACATCTGGTGAGCACACAGTTCAAATAAACACAGAGTTCAAATAAACACCTACAGGTTGCGAGCCTGCTAGTGTTCCACTGGACTGTCTAGAATAGTCCGTGGTCGTCATCTATACTCCGCTAGATGACTGGATCATCAATAACATCTATAACGAGGCCTCTCATTATTTTATTTTGTCACACAGCAACTATTACATCTACCCATGTTTTACCCAACACATTTTGTAGATATAAAATACATATACAGTTTAAATCTTTGAAAACATGTATAAAACGTTCATCCAGCTTAGATAGCAAGTATTCAGATAATATGCACACATAGCACGTAATTTATATTAAATACTTCATATCTATGTGTAAGTTGAAAGTAACTATGCACTCACCTGATTAGGTGGTGACTCAGCACTCGGACAGCGCTTTGATACTCTCAAAATGATATTCCTTCGATAAAACCTAGTATCGATACCACTAGGGTTTAGTTTAATGATAACCGCGACAAATTAATTAGTCTGAGTATTATTAAGCATTAATAATACTCGATATATCTTATAATAATAGCCCAAATAATTATTTTAAGGACCTAATAACATTCCCATAAATATTTGAAAGCTATATTAAAAATTGCGTAAGCGTAGCATACTTACAGCGAATTTTATTGAAAACCGGGACTTAATTGGAGCAGCGTTTCGAAACCGAAAAACTCCTTTTTTTCTCGGGACTCCGGAAGCCTCGGGGCTTCCTTAGGGTGCTAGGGGTTCACCTAGACTTTAGGGAGGGTTCAAAACCCTAGAGAGAGAAAGATTTTAGAGAGAGAATGAGAAATGGTGTGTAAAATCCGGAGACCCTCGCCCCTTTTTATAGCCTGCGAGGCCTCGGATTACGCTGGGCGTAGTCCTTGGCTACGCTGGGCATTCTTCGGATAAGGCTGCCACATCGATTCCAGCTGTCTCGCACTCGGAAGGGATTAGACAGAAGGGTACGCTGGGCGTACCGAACCCAGACGCGGGGCGTAAGGCGAAGCGAGGCGACGTGGCTTCTTCTGGACCGAGAATGGCTAAGCGAACGCGGCGCGTACGAGACCGAACGCTGGGCGTAACGAGGGGCGACGCGTCACTCATCCGAGGCGACTTCAGCGATCATCATCGGACGGCTAGGAAAGCGCCACGTCAGCGACTTCGTATCAGATCTCGCAAAATCGAGTACAATCTTTAAAAATTCGTAACTTTCGCATACGAGCTCCTTTTTCGACGTTCTTTATATCCACGTGAAGGTGGGAACCTACTCTACAACTTTCGTTTAGACTTCGTCGGCTAATTTTGGCTCGATTTTAAATTTTATATTATCAACGGGTCGGGATAGGATTGGTCTGTTAAATCCTTATAACTTCTTCATCCGACATCCGTTTTTGCCCATCTTTTTCTCGTTACGTTACTCTTAACGAGATATTCGATTCTCGTTTAGGTTGTGTCGGCTAAAAACCGCTCGATCAAACATTCGAATTTCGGGCAGTACACTGCTAGTCCGAAACTTCGAAAAATCGTAACTTCTTCATACGAAGTCAGATTTGGGCGTTCTTTTTATCGATGTTCTTAGTTTAACATATTCTACGACTTTTGTTTATATTTATAAGGCTAAAAGTCTTCTATCGTAAATTCACTATTTACGTCTTCCGGTGCCGTGCCGGTTTTGCCGTAAAACTTCGGCGGGTCATACCTTCTTCGTTATAGCTCGGATTTCAGCATTCTTTATATGTACGGAAACCTTGAGACATATTCTACAACTTTATGTAGAGATATCAGGATTATCTCACACTTTAATTTTGACGCTCATTTTTATTTTTTTATTAATTATACAATAATAAACACATAATTCACATAATACTCAAATATTTCATATTTAGTACTTCAAAAAGAGTTACAATAGTTGACCTAGACTATTACATTGACAAAAATGCTTAGCCCTGAAACCCGGGCGTTACAATTCTCTCCCCCTTAGGATGATTCCGTCCCGGAATCATGCATCAGCAAACAGATGTGGATAACGACTCATCATGTCATCCTCTGTTTCCCAAGTGAGATTCGGCCCATTCGAATGTTTCCATTGGACTAGCACTAAGTCGACCATCTTGCGTCGTAACTTCTTAGTCTTACGGTCAATAATTGCCTCGGGCTCTTCGATCAACCTTTTATTTTCATCCATCCTTAACTCTGAGATTGGAATTATGTCGGGAACATCTCCCACGAATTTCCTCAAATAACACACATGGAAGGTGTTATGAATACCATTGAGTTCTTCGGGCAATTCCAGCTTGTAAGCTTGGTTCCCAATCCTCTGAAGAACTTTGAATGGTCCAATAAACCTTGGACTCAACTTTCCTCGTTTCCCAAATCGTATAAGTCCCTTCCACGGTGAGACTTTAAGTAAAACGGAATCCCCAACTTCGAAGGTTATCGGTCGTCTTTTCTTGTCAGCATAGCTCTTCTGACGATCCTGAGCTGCTAACATTCTTTCCCTAATCACCTTCAATTTCTCAGCAGTCTCATGGACTATCTCGGGGCCCATAAACTGCTTCTCTCCGGCTTCGAGCCAACAAGATGGTGTACGACACTTCTGTCCATACAAGGCTTGATAAGGTGCCATCTTGATGCTCGAGTGAAAACTATTGTTGTAGGAAAATTCAACTAGAGGTAAGTGCTCGTCCCAATTCCCTTGGAATTCAAGGGTACATGCTCTCAGCATATCTTCCAACGTCTGAATCGTTCTTTCACTCTGACCATCAGTTTGCGGATGGTAAGCAGTACTCAAACACAACTTTGTACCCAACTCCTCTTGTAGACTCCTCCAAAACCTTGACGTGAAACGACTATCACGATCTGACACAATCGTAAGAGGGACACCGTGAAGTCTTACAATTTCCTTCACGTAAGCATTTGCGAGCTTATCCATAGACCACTTCTCGTTGGCTGCTATGAAGTGTGCACTCTTGGTGAAACGATCCACGACTACCCAAATCATGTCGT